GACTGCAAAATTTGAGGCATGAAGGGGATTTCCCTGTGCTACTGTGGAGTACTAACAAAACAGAGATACTCAGCCATTTGGTTGGTTTGGGCAATGTCATGATAGAGGAAAGAGTCCTTTCTCTTTTAGGAAGATACTGTAGCCTTCCCTCTCATCTCCTCTCTGGGCATCCTTTTCAACTATTGAGCAATAAGTCAATTTCAGCCCTTTCTCTAGGTCCTGCTGGTGCCAGTACATGACACTGTATACGAGCTCCGCTGATATTCCAGAGTCAATCCTGTCAAGTTCCACTAAATAGTGATGGTATCTGAAAGGTTGTAGCATCTATGGATCCTGTGGGCAAGAGACAATGACTGAGGACTGTGATCAGAAAGAAGCCTGATGTGATTGAGAGAAGGTGTGAGGCAGAGCCCCTGCAAACCTAAGAAAGGACTTTGCTGTGTGTTCAACGCAGACCCACCTGCAATCAAGGTACAAAAGATCATATGGTACAATTTCCACTTTCAATCATACACACACACACACACACACACACACACACACACACACACACACAAAACTCTCTGAAGCTCCGTTATACAGGCTCTAAGAATTGAAAAGTCAAGTATGCCTCACAGCGCAGTTGATACATAACAACTGTGACAACTATTCTTTCTGATGGTGAGACAAAGATAGAGGAAGATCCAGTCTCCTACACTTTTTCTTCTGGAAGTTCTGGAAGCTGTGTGTATTCCTTTTAAATGCAAAAAAATAGCAAATGGGACAAGCTGGTAGTCCTTATTTCCTGTCCAAAGTCCCATCCAGGACCTCCTGTGTGGTGGCTGTGGTTAGAGCTGGGAAGGTGAACACCTGCACCTCTCAGACTTGACCCCTCTCATTTCCATGGTGGAGATGAAGAAACTCACACACAAAAGATAGTTCAGATGTTTCCATTTTTCTTTTTAAAAGCAATTTTTATCCATCACCTATGTTTGCCATCAGCAATTAATGTGGTAAATGTAGTGAGACCACTTGTGGAAGCCTAGCAACTGCAGAAGGCCCTCAGCTCCCCTCACTAGATTAGAGCCAGCATTGGGAGAGAAGGGAGGCCCAAATCCCAGCTCTGCCATTTATCAGCCAAGCATCCTTGGTAACATTATTTCACCTCCCTCCGATATAATGTTCTCTTCTCTAATATGCAATAGTGAATATCTATCTCAAAATAATATAGAGAATTCAGAATAGTTCTTAGCCCATAACGAACACCATATTTAAGTTTGTTGTTATTTTTAGGATCTGGTATTCTAATAAAAAAACATTAAGAATTTAATACCACATCAAGATGAATCAGACATTTATTGACATGGGGTTTTACCTGCTAATTAAAATATTTCCCAGCGCTGAATCTGAATTAGAATTTGTACAAGTGTAAATTTATTGTATAAGATAGGTTCTTCTCAAGAGTCTGAGGTAAACGGAGGAATGCTAATCATTGCTTTACAAATGATGTTAATCTGCTAATAAATGTTAATTTGTATTTCATCCAAGATCACCTGTCATGCAAGGTATAATGCTTTCATAAAAATCTTCTGGTTGGAACACAATGGCTCCGTAGTTGTTGGTGACACCTGCTGGACAAGAGAGGAAGTCAAAGACACCTTGATTACAAAGAAAAGGAGAGGGGTAGAAAGTGGGGGTTGGGGAGAAAAGGAGAGGAGAAATGGGAATGGGTAACACCAATTAAAGAGGAGTTACATCACTTGCAGTGTCTAAGTCTTTGCTCTAGCCTTTCGACCACACCATGGAGGTGGGAGACTCATCCCTTATAAGGACTTCTTCATTTTTGTCAGTCTGGCAAACCCCAAGGACCCCATTTGAGAATATTTAAAGGTATAAAGTGAAATTCATAATATCACAAATGAAACCAACTCTTTTCAAGTGCAGATATCAAAATACTACTTAAAATTTTATGATATATTAATGTATAGACAACTTCAAATCAAATGAATAAAATATATGCTGATTAATCTGAAAACTGCCATGATTTCAAAACAGTGATGAAGGCAAATGATGTTTACTCTGTGTAATGCAATGTAAAAAAATTGACTTTCAAATCTCTGTAATGTGTGCAATATATGTCCAAATGAAAATGAATGTGATTTACATTATAGTTCCTCAGAGATGTAACCAAAATCATTATTACTTTAGCCACATTTTTATTGTGGAGGGAAATGATGTGTTTCAGTTAAGGCATCAGTGAAAATAAAGATGTATTTTTCTACTCAGATCCGTGCATTCTCTAACTTTTATCTGTGTAGCTCTTAGAGGCCCTGTGATCATGGGATAAACATTTCTGCCTTAGGAAAGATTATTCTCCACACTTGGAGCCATGCATAGAAAATATTAGGAAGCTTGTATGTCTTCCAAAATGCTTTGTGAAGATGTCTAATTCCCAGCGTTGTCCAAGGGTAACAACAACTATTGCTTCTTACTGGCTTCCAGACTTAAGACATAATAAGCATTTACCAAAATTGTATCCTGGTCTTGGGAACATGAAGAAAATTTCCACAATCAGTTCTTCTTGTGGTATATTTGCTACCAGACACACTTCTCTTTACCTGTACCATCATCATCGTCATCGTTCTGTATGTGATTCTGAGGAGCATCACCGCACTGAGATATGATAGCACATGCCCTCAAAGATCAAAAATTGAAATGTTGTCTTAAGAAATCCTCTAGTCAACAGAAATATCCTTAATCAGAATCACTGAAATATCTCTATATGTTTTAATATGTTCTCTTGCAATCCCAGCATCAGGAAACAGAGGCAGGTGTGTCCCTATGAGTTTAAGGACAGACCTATCTACATAGAGTTCTAGACCAGCCAGGATTACACAATGGGACACTTTCTTTAAAAAATTATTTGAACCGAGCAGTGGAAGCACAGGCCTTTAATCCCAGCACTTGGGAGGCAGAGGCAGGCAGATCTCTGTGGCTTCGAGGTCAGCCCGGTCTACAGAACGAGTTCCAAGACAGGCTCCAAAGCTACATAGAAAAACCCTGTCTTGAAAAAAACCAAATAAATAAATAAATAAATAAATCTTTGCCATAGTATGTGCTACTGATTTCAAATATGCCTTGGGACTCAGTGATAGGGTATAGCAATTCACACATTAGGATTTCTGAGAGAAGCGTGAACAGTTCTAGTGGATTAAAGATCTTTGCTGTATTCATTGCAGTGTCATACTTCAAAGATAACTCAAAGGAGTAAGTCATGAAGAAGGCTTCTTTGTTCTTTGTTCTGCATGTTATCAAACTATGTATCATATGAAATCTATTTAGCATATTAGTTTTGCAAAGACTTGACATCAGGTTTATTATTATTACCATAGTCTATATACTTCTCAACTGGTAACTCTATCTCATCACTCCTTTGTGATAATTATTCATCTGAATGCTCACATATTATTAAATTAGTAAACTATTTTTGGACTGTGTTAAGTTCAAAACAGCAAAGCAAGTGGGTAAGTGGGAATTACCCAGGTCTTAGTATTTGACTGCAGGCACCATGTATGTTGCCCATAGTAATGCACAGACTGGACTAATCAAGATGAAACACCCAAATTCTTCACACTGCATCGCATGCCTCCCCATGTGGGCTTCCTTTGTTCCTAACTCGGAAGTTTGTTTTCATGAGCAAACTACACTTCTTGGTGAGCGCCTTACAGAAGTTTTACAAGCTTCCTGACAGGTTAGAAAGGACACCGTCTGTCTTAAATTAGAATAGCAAACAGATGATTCGTGTCAAAGACACAGCTGATATCATGAGCTTGCCCAGGTTTGCTTGAAGTCACAGACGCTGTAGGAGGCGCTTGCTTTATGCATAGCCATTGTGTGAAATGATGGGTTTTATTCTCATAGTTCCACACATACATCACACACATTTTGATCATATTCACAACTCTATAACTTGGGAATTTTTTATGTAATATGCTGAGGAGGAGGTACCAGTTGAGAAGTGTAAAGATCACACTGAATTAATCTGATGTCAATTCCTTGCAGAAATGATGTACTAAATATGTTTCTGATGGATACTATAAAATAATGCATAAGTTTATTAAACTAAGTTTAGGCTAGGTGTGGTAACTGATGTTTGCAATCACAGAACTCAGGAAGTTAAGACAGGATGACTGGGAATTCAAGCCAGAATAAGCTAAATAATGAGATTCAGTATCAATAAAATAAAATACATTCAGAAAAAATTAACAAAATATGTGGAATACCTACACAATAAAATAGCAAATCAATACTGAGGATTTGTTACTAATATCAAAGAGCTCAACAAAGAAACGCTGGAGAAGTTTGTACAAACTGGAAATAATCGTCATCTCAATGCACAGTGGTTAATTATCAAAATTTGTAGAAACGCATACTTCAAAGCGTGGGTGTTTTAGAATACATACTTGTCGATAATGTTGTTTTAAAAACTATGTGGTTTAGGATTACAGAGGACAGGAGCTGATGCAGTTCTCAGGCACGTTTCTATGGGAAGGGAACAGCTTTGAGAAGTTGCATAAGCCACTGAGTCTGGACCAAATCATCAGGGTCCATGTAAAAGCCAAGCTGTTTGTTTCTTCTTCTGCAGCATACAGCCTCGCCAGATGAGAGAACAGAGGCATAATTATGTTGGATGGAAATTCACCAGTCCGAGACGGGGAGAGGAAGTAAAATCAATGCAGCAGGTTAGTCCTGCCTAACACTGAGCACATTCTGGAAACTAAGCAGGTTAACCCTGCCTAACCCTGAGCACATTCTGGAAATTGGCCCCGTTGCATTCTCCTTGCCTTTCCCAGAACTTCTCTGCCCCCATCACCTTTTTTGTCGTTCGCTTAGGTCACCTAGATCCATGACTTACAGATTTTCTTTCTGGCTCATGCTCGTGAAACACTGTGTTTCTGTTAGCTCTCAACAAGCTCATGTAGCCCTGATTTCCTGAGCAGGGTCCTTTATGAGTTTGCGTTCTAAGAAAAGCCAGCAGTCAGCACTGTGGATTGACTGCTGGCGCAGAAGTACACAGCTGAGTCTGCGAGCTGGCTGGACTGGATCTCTAGGGTACACGGCACATTTGGCAGACATTTGGCTGAAATGTTTTTATCGATCTTATCTGTTTTGTCTACGATGTCTGCGTTCTGAAAGTAAACCAAAAACTTGAGTTCTTCTCCCAGCTTCTTGTAGTACCAATAAATGTAACTATGTCCTTTGATGCGGGTGCAGTCCATTTTGGCTCTCTGTTCTTTTCCTTTGACCAGATATCTAGGATTCTGGATGACCTCAGTGTCCATGGAGCCTGTGGAGGAAGGAAATAGAAACTGAAGATAAGTCCAGAAAGAATTCTACTGTTGCAGATGTAAGAGAACCTGCTGAAGCTGGAATACAACCTGCTCAAAACAGGGACTTACCTGCGGTCCAGAAAAAAAGGACCACACAGTAGAAAGGTTCAGCGTGCATGCTTGACTATAGAGAGGCTCGACGGGCTGTCTTCTCTGAAGGCTTCCTCATTACTGTAAGGGATCTTCTCATGATGTAATCACTTCCTAAGGGCTGCACGGTTGTGAGACACGAGAGGCAGAAACATTGTGCAGGATGTGGGAGGGGATCCTGAAGCTGTCTTAGGTGACGTGAGATTCAGCCCACTTCTGCTTTCCTTCTCTTGTGCCTTACTATGTTGATTGTTTTCAGTAAAAATTGTTCATATATTATTCATTTATGTGATTTTTTTTAAACTTAAGTTTGCTTTCTCCACTTCATTGTGGGGAAAGAACCTGAGCATTTCCTGGGTTAGCATCATAGCTCTTGCCACACTCACAACACCACGTGGTAGCTCCTTTGGAGATTTAAATATTGAAATTTACAAAATTATTTAGACAAATATGCAATGCAGTTAGAGCACTAATTAAAAACAACATCTATGGCTTAGCCAGTGAGCTAAAGAGAAAAATTACAGCTGAGAACTTTGGATCTGTACAGTTCTTAGATTTCCCCACTCTCCATTAGTGTCTGGAAGGCTGAACCACTGGAACTTACACTTGTCATTTGTATATATATATATATATATTCTATATATATATATATATATATATATATATATATATATATATATATGCAAAGCAATCTTGAATGTCATTTAAATGTATCTAAGAGGAGTTATCCTATCTGTATTTTCTAGGATGTTATTTTCCATTCAGATTCATTTTGATATGTACAACTGTAGGCAACTCATTCCACTCATACTCAGCATTCCACTATACTCATTCAGTGGCGCTCATTACCCACTTGATACTTTTCTCACAGTGGGTTTTGTGCTGCTACAAACAATACTCTGCATGCCTTGTACACGTCCAGATTTCTACAGATGGCAAGATTTCCTCCAACCTTGGCACATGCCAACAGCCACATCGATTTTTACATAAAATGGCAAAATCCTTCCTGAAATGATTAAAGCACATAATTCTTTTTTGGCATTTTAAATATTTTTTATCCTTTTTTATTTGAATTAGAA